CAATATTATTACGTTTGAACTAACGCATTCATAGACGCAGGTGGACTTGACTTACTGTTGCTAGGACCATTGTTGTTCTGACACAGCCATATTTTGAATTTAAAAAATATAAACTTTATATATACGAAAATATCATTGTTGGACATTAAAAAAATATATATGTGGGGGGGGGGGTGGTGAACGATTTTCAGCATTGGAACCCACACTAAATAGTCAGCGCCCTATTCATTTCCAGCCGTTGCGAGTTTATTGTCCCTAACGTTCTAACATCTTCGTATTCATCATTCTTTCATTTTTGACCTACCCCCCGTCTACTTATCCCAGGCTTCGGCATAAAGATTCGTCTAGGAAGGTTGTTATGTTGTGATCTTGCTAGAATAGTACGATCTGGAAATTGTGTTGAATAATTAATTCTTTAATTATAGACAGTTGCGGTTTAAGAGCGGAAGGACGTGAGAAAGACCATAGGCGGCGAGGATTTTGGATAAATCACTGCAGCAATTTTATTAATATTGATATTTAATTTTTTAAGTACCCCAAAAATATTTTTAAAATAGACTAAAAAATATTTAAATTTTGAACATTATTACAAATAACTGAATTACTATATTATCATTTACGGTTTCAAATATAAAAGAATAGAAATAAAATTTACCATAAAATTAAACGGCATCATCAAATAATACATGTGTGTCCCCAGAGATATCAATAATGCCATCAAGTTTCGTCTTAAGTTATTGGTGAAAACTCACGAAAATACTATTGAAACTGAATCGTTAATCAATTTTACATACCTTACTTATACTCAACATTAAAAATGTCTGAGTCATTGCCCAAGAAAATGGTTTCCCGTATATCTAAATTCAACATATTTTCTTCTTCTTTCTGCGTGTCAACGATGCACACAGTTCCCCGATGTAACATTATTTATGACTTCGAGGAAAAGTACTGTAAGTATCACATAACTTAAAGGTAATATTTCGACTACCTTTTTACTTGTGCCTAGTTTAGCTCAATATAATTAAGCTTACAATGGGTATGGTGGTAATCGGTGAACAAAAACCCCATGGTTACAAGCCATTTCATCAACAAAATATTTCTGATATTTTTGGTTATGCTGTCGTGCAATATTTAGTAACTCCGGCTTAATCATGGACTTGTCATACCCAATTTCTATCCTATCTAGTCATTCACATATTTCTCCTTTTCGCCAACTTGTTGAAAGCTTATCTATTTGACGACTATGGTAGGAAGTATTATCTAAAATGATTATTGAGCCACGTTCAATTATTTTTGTTACCTAGTATAAATGAAAACCATTTTTTAAATTTCTCAATAACCATTTCCTCGTGATAATCTCCTGATTTTTTGGATTTAAAAAACCATATTCACTACCAATATGTGTTTTTATTAGATGTTGGCCCTTACCTGATGGTGCTTTTAGACCTGTAGAGAGACTTTCAAGCAACGCTTGTCGACTGCTTTTAATCGTGCCTAACTCTGTTTACAGTATGACCTTCGTTTAACCAAGTCTCATCTAAATAATAGATTTTTGTTCTTTCATCACGATACTGTAAAACCTTTTTAAGATTATTACGACGCCGTAAAACAATCTCACTTTTTTCAATAAACTGCTTTGTCGATATAATTTGATAAATATATTCAAAATTCATTAAATGAAGTGTACGCAGTAGTATCTCTCTTGAGATTTTTGGTAAATTGGAATCATTGTAGATGTTCGCAGAAATTTTCTTTAATGTTGGAATTTCATTCCTAAAGAAAATAAACGAATTTTTTGATGAATAACCCTTCCTACTTCATCATCCAAGACTCTTCGGTTTCTCTCCCTTGTTTCTTTGTGCTCTTCCAGAAAACTTTCGTTGTCTTCTTTTATAATTTTTTATATACTACTTTCAGATACTTGCGTTAAGATGCTGCAAAGAGAAACAACATCTTAAATATTCAAATTTTTTCGTTTCTTAACACCTTGTAGAATATTCATTTGCACAACAATTTTTACCTCTGGAGTTAAAATTGTTCTAGCAGCACGCTTGTTAGAGTATGTTTCAACTGTAGTGGCAGAAATTTCTAGGAACAGTACAGCCTCACCAAACATAGCAGTGGCGTTCCAAAAAATACTTATGATTTAAATCAAATTGTTAAAGATAGATACACACAATTTATTAAACAATGATATAAGATTATATTTTCGGCAATATTGTACTTCATTTCAATACATGTTATTATAATGTATCACATGCATATATTGTCTGTATGTGAAACCATAGATACGTATTACAGATTACATTATCAATAAATATTAATTACAAAGATTGTTTTAACTTTACAACCTTTATTATTTATATTATTACTCACTTAAACGTCACAAAGTTTAATAGAAGAATATACGAAATGATTGTAATAAAGTAAAAAAATAATACATACATACAGGACACTTTGGAAAACGTATATTCACATAGGTATGTACATCGTAATTTTAAATTATATTATTTACTTTCATAATCAGATGTACTGTCGTCGTCACTAGAATCATTTAAAGCAATCCTTAATTCTTCAGTAATTACATCTATCTAACGTTCACTTTCCAAATATTTATCTTCAACCTTGACAACATGTTCACATACGTTCTTCCAGTTATCTACAGTTACTCTAGCAAATTCCTGTTCCACCAACGCTATTACGTCTTCTAACTTAAAATAAACGTTTTGTTTTGCAACTTCATTTTTTATGTGTGCTCAAACCGTTTCTATAGGGTTCAAGTCTGGATGATATGGCGGAAGTTTTAAAGAGACATGTCCACATTCTTGCAGCACTTTGTCAAATTTATAAATATGATCTTGTTTGTGTCGTTTGATGATTTCATACAATTGCAGTTTTAACATTGACGTTACAAATGGTAAATTTTTTTCTGTCAACCAAGATATTATATCCATTTTTTTAGAATTACTGGTGGGTGCTTTATTAATTTGTACATTATGATGTGACGCATTATCACTAACAACAACAGATCCAATAGGCAAATTGGGGATTAACCGTTTTTTCATAATTGTATGAATTCATATCATCATGATAATCTCCTGTCTTAGCTCCTGACTTAAAAATCAAAAGGGCGTTCTGTATGAAACTCATCTCCCCACCACCATCTACGATAACCAACCTACTTCCTTGTAAAACGTTTTTGAACAATCCTTTACCACTGTCATCTGTCCAGCTATTTGGCGTAGTGTGTTCTGCATGTACATAGGTTTTATCAGCATATACAATTGACTTACCTTCGTTTTTGTAATATTTAATTTTGTTCAAATATTTAATGCGTAGAGCACGAATATCATTCCATTCAATTAATAAACGTCGAATTTCTTTCGTTTTCTTCCATTTGAATCTAAAATCTTTCACAATTATGTAGGGTGATATATTTTGTGGTCTTTTTGTAATTAGCATGTACTTCGTTTTTTAGCGTGTATAGTAATTCCCATCTCAGCACTATTCATACTTAAGCTTTCGAGAAGATATTGTAGATCTTCTATACTCGTTGCTATGATCACAGTGTCGTCTCTATATCGTAAGTTGTTAATTAATTTTCCGTTAACGGTAACTCCCGCTTTGATATTATTAAGCGTGTTTTGGAAAATTTCTTCAGAATATAAGTTAAACAAAAGTGGCGACAAAACACATCCCTGTCTAACTCCTCTACAGATCTTCATTTCTTATAAGTGTTGCCATCAATTTGATCTATGACATTTTGGTTTTAGTATAATGTTTGCACTATATTTATAATTTTACTGTCAATGCGTATGCTTGGTCAGAAGTATTGATATTGGTTTGTCATGTCTTACTTTACCGAAAACTTTTTCGTAGTCAACAAAGCACAAGTGTTGAACAACGTTTACATCCCGACATCGCTGAATCAATATGTTGATGGCAAATAGTCCTTCTTGAGTACTCATTCCATTTCGGAACCCGAACTGCGTCTCGATAATATCCTCCTCTAGCCTTTCGTGTATTCTTTTATGTATTACTTTTAGCAGTACTTTTAAAGTATGACTCATGAGGCTCAGTGCTCGATAATCAGAGCACTCATTTGCTGCTTGTTTTTCAGGGTTGGTTATAAATGCTGAATTCTTGCCACTCTTGTGGTATTATTACCGTATTGTACACCGTGTTGAATAAATCTGCCAATACTTCCAAATGATCCTCTTCCACTAGTTTTAACAGTTCTACTGGTATTTCATCTAATCCAGCTGCATTATTATCTTCTGAGTTTTTGATAGCATATTTGATTTCATCTATCGTGTTCTTCTGTCTCTCTAAAGGATTTAATCTTGTATTTTCTGCAATTCACCTCTTTTATCTTGGAAAAGTTCTCTAACGTACTCCTCCCATCGTCTTAATTTCTCTGGCAAATCTATTAGTAGTACTCCTTTTTTGTCTTTTATGTGTCCTTGCTGTCTATTTCGACCCATTCCAGTCACTTCTCTTATTTTTTGTGCATATTTAAATATTACCAAACTTAAAATATTACCAAAAATTATATACCTATCTAAAAATTTTTCCGAATACTGAAACGCGCTGAAGTTTAATTTGTTGAAATTTGTGTATTTTTTAATCTATGTATATATTTTAACCGATTAATCAAAAGAACACAATAAAATAAACCTATACGGTTATCAAAATTAATTATTGATACAATATCCGTTGCTACATTTAAAAACATGATAAGCCAAATATATTTTAATTGAATTTGTATTGTAGAACTGGCGAATTAATAGTTGAATGGTAGCAGAACGATGTTGAACGAATTAGTTGAATCTCATTGTACACGACAATCCTATTGTATACATTATATGTTCCATTGTGTTTGCCACAACTAAAAACCATTAACATTTACCATATTTTTAAACAAAAATCGGAACAAACATTTAGATATGAACACATTGTTTTTAGAGTATTATCCACTTAAGTTTGTTGATGTATTTCAGAATGGATTACACGATCACACGCAATCCTTATTAGAAGACCTACCCACCTCAGAAGAAAAAGAGGAGAGTAAAAAAATTGTTGAAGATTCCGACAGTGATGATGAATACGATGAAATTTATTACCAGAAAGCGAAACAGCTGTTACCTTACGAAGAGGCCCCCTCTTATTTACGACATAATCCTTATATATTGACAGGATATAGAAGGAATCTCAAAACAAGTTTATGTATATCTAGGTTAGTATATAATTATTCTCTATTATATTCTATAGTATACATACATACACGTACATGTTTTCATGAGAAACTATAATCCTAGTGGGTATTTCTATATCTACTTAATCATTTCAATTCTATTTTACATTATTTCTTTTCTGTTTTAGTGTATTTTGGTGGACCAATGAAACGATTAATATTTGGTCCCACATATTTGGGTTATTCCTTTTTGTGGCATTAACAGTGTATGATTTTATGATTTTACACGTACAAGCAACTCTATCGGACAAAATTATAGTTTCTTTATTTCTAGGATGTTTTATGGTAAGTACTTTTTAGATGATATAGGGTGTGTGTTTTGGTTACCTCTAGTATATGCACGTATCAAAGCTATTATAAATATCCAGGAAGAGGTAAAACAAATATATTGGGTCTGCCTCATTATGGCTGTCATCTTATTTACATTCTAGAAAGATCCTTGTTAAACTTAGTGACACACGATTAGATTATGGTGATATTGATATTGGGGTCCTTCAGGGTTCAATATTGGGGCCATTAATATTCCTATGCTATATTAATGATATGCCCAGATATGTCAGTTCAAATAACATATTTATGTATGCAGATGACACAACTATTGCTACAACTGCTTCAAGTGCCAAGGAATTAACTGTTCAACTAAAAGTTATATCAGAAGATTTTAGAGAGTGATGTAAAAAATGCTTTGATTGTTAATGCTAAAAAAACACATGCATGCAATTCTACTATAGATCAAATTCAAGTTACCAGTTTTCTATAAAAGTAAATGATAGCCTGGTTCATTCTACAACTTCCACCAAACTTTTATGTTTGTATCTTGATAGTAACATGGGCTAGGAATTCTCAAATTAATCATGTTTGCAAAAGAATAAATAGTAGTTATTACGCAATATTGCAATTAAAAAGATTTCTTCTAAGGAACAGTTATTGAATAGTTATTATGCAATTGTTTATTCTCATTTGGCCTTTAATACAAATCTTTGGGGTAGTGCTGTGAATGTTGCAAGAGTGTCTGTCTCTCAGAAAAAGATAATTCGGTTAATTTTTAATTTACCATATAGGCATTCATGTCGACAATATTTTAAAAAATACAACATTTTAACAGAACCTTCTACATATTTTTTTAAATGATACTACATATAAATGCCAATATAACTACTTTTCATTTAAACTCTGATTATCACCAGTACTCAACTAGACAAAATGACTTCATCAGAGTACCAAAACATAATACAGCACGATTTGAAAAATCCCAGTATTATATGAATATAAGACTTTTCAATCATCTTCCCAACAGTATTAAATCTGAAACAAATTTAAATAAATTTCGAGGTAAATTAAAATATTTTCTTTTGAAAAATTGTTTCTATAGTGTACGTGAATATCTGGGTAATGTAAATAATTAATCATATGTACTTTTTATCTTTTAATTCTGAAATTGTGATCTTTTATTAAGTAAGTATTTATATATTTTTTAGTCGGTCAGATAGCCAAGCGGGCTGGGCGGCCGGTTTCTCATTCGCTTCACTGCGAGTGGTTTAGTGGATGTGAGTTCGATCCCCAGCTCGGTGTACAGAAAACAAAAAGGCTAACGCAGCAGTTTAAAATCTAGATGAATCTGCGGCTTAGACTAGAATATGCTGGATGTCTGATCGGCCTATGGTGGAGCAGTACGGCAAGAGATAAGGGTGATAAGGCTGATAAGGCTGCTCGGTGATACTCATCCATAGATCCCTATCGGAAGGGTGTACCGCGTAAATACCGGTATAAATATGTATATATATATATATTATTATTTTAAGCTTGTTATTATTTAAATCAGATTGAAATATATTTTATTTAGGTTCTTTGTATCTTTCTTGTTATTCATTGCTTTATTGTGTATAGTGTTTTTTTTTATTTCTAATGATTTGTATATATCCTTCTTCTTTTTCTTTGCTTAGTTTTTAAAATTTTGATGCTACCGAAATCAAATTAATACTTCCTTTCATTCTCATGTATTGTGAGCGCAGTGGTGTTGTTCTTGTCGAATTTTTGTGGAAAAGAATTATTATTAATAATAAATAATAACATATATAACGAACATAATTAATAATATAATATATAATAATATAAAATTATAAAAAAAAGAGATGTAAAAAAATTTATCGACTAGAAATGTACGTACCAGAGAAAATATTTAACGATATGAATAAATTTTTAATCAAAACATGCCTTTTTATAGATTTTCTTTCTTTCTTCTTTTCTTCGTTTTTTTTTGAGTTTCGATTATATAATCATTTAGCCAGTACATGTAAGGTTATGCTCGTCTTGTTCTAGACTCTAGGCAATGCACAACCAGGGATAAATTTCTACTTCTGTTTACAGTTAATTGACAACTGGGTGGTACTAAAAGATCACCTTTTCCATTTGTTTATCTTCTTCATTTAAGGTTAGATTAGACTTTTCTCGTTTGGTGGTAGCTTCCAAATAATATTTTGAAGTACAACTGACATGACAGAAGTCAAAGAATAGGCAACTGGCAGATATATTTTGTCGACTGACGTGGGCATAGAAATTTTATGTGTCATGGTATAGAACATAATGGAGTCTGAATAAAGGAATATTAGAATATTAAATGAGAATTAAAATTGGAATTTAGATTATGACAGAATATTTAGTAAATAGAACGTTGATCGAAGAGTTGGGCGCCAACTATTTTTAGAATAAAAGTAGTAAAATGAAAGAGACAAGGTACTAAATGAATAATTGAATATGTATATGAAAATGAATATCTTGGTGTATTCGTTAACACAGTTCACCCACAGAGTCCCTGTGCTAAATGTTCTTTTAGGAAATTGCAGACGTTAATTACTTCAGTTGCGAGTTTTATGTTGCATTTTTCCTAATTTTATAATTTTATCTTTAAAACTTTGCCGCATTTTAAAATCTTACGTTTCGGAGTTGTTCTGTTTAACGATAGTGTCTATTGTGATAATATAAACATCTTAAAATCAAATTGAATTTTTTTTATTTTTAAAATATTTATACAGTGGATGCAATAACAATAACTACTGACTATTTTGTATATACTATGAGTATTAATAGATGTGTATGCTTTCGACCGACTTATACCTCAAATTATTTAAATGGCCATTGCAGCCGAGACACATTAATTTAAATAAAAAAAATCTTCGGGTCAGAGAATCTTGCATTTGGAAGTTACCATTCATCTTTGAACTATAATCCTCCACTTATACCAACTTATACCTCCACTTATGGCATTAACACCTACTTACTATTCTTAGTATATAAATAACTATTATAAATATTTTCTATTTTTTTAGTCATGTATGGCATTTTCTGCATTGTACCACACATTTTCGTGCAGATCAGAAAAGGATTGCGAAAAATATTTATCATATGATCTTTTTGGTATAGCTTTGTCTTTGCTAGCTATTTATACATCTGGAATATATTATGCCTTCTGGTGTGATACAGTAAGTAAAAATTGATATATAATATACTTTTTATAAATATATAAATTGATATTGCTAAAGAGGATGTTTGGGGTAGATGAGAATATTATACAGTATGTGAACGGATTACACAAAAAATCTCGCAAAAGCATATTGCCGAGATGAATTTTTTTAAAATACCTAATAATTGGAGGTTAGATGTGGTTAAATACAAGATACAACGACTTCATTTCTTGTTTCATACAAATAAAATTCAGAGGTATAGATTGGCACGAGGAATAAAAATCCAAGAACATTTGACTGTTCTTTGATTTGTAGAGAACAAGTTTTCAAATCAAATGGTATGTATTAACAAAAAAATGTTTTAGTTTGTACTGAAAAAAGTAGAATAATAGTGATATTCCTTAAAAATTTTTGATATGTGTATATATATCAAAGTAATATCTAAGCAAACAAGAACAAGATCAAAGTATCTCCAAGTGTCCTTTCCAGAATAATGGTAAAGGGCTAAAAACTGAATCGTCCCGTAGCAGTATTAGAGTTCTAATAAAAAGAAAATAATGGTAGGGGACACACCACACAAACTATTGTTATTCTATTACAATCATAATCTTTCTATCTTCTATTAAAAATGAACATATCAAGTTCAGACAGGAAGAATAAATATTCTTACAAAGATAAATAATTGAGATAGATCAGATATTTTTACAAATGTTTTAAATATATGTACACATAAGTCTTTTGATACTGTCCGATTCCTAGTTTCCTTGTTCTTATGTTTTTCCAGTGATCTTCTCATAGTTATTTGGTACTCATCCCCTTCTGGATATTTTACATCTAAGAAAGTTTAATAAGAGTTAAAGTAAAATAAAGTTTTTCTTGGTGGATTGTCAGTATCCGTTATTTTAACCCACCCGCAACAAATCAGTTGATCTTTCATCTTTCACTTCTTTTTTTATTATTCCATATATACGTGAAATTCTGCCGATCTTCTTAGCACGTCCATCGTCCATATCGATCGCCTTCAGTTTCTGTTTGAGGGCTTCTGTTAGTTTCCAAGTTTTGTATCAATATAATAGATTTATATTTATTATTGTTTCGTAAATTTGTATTTTTCCCAATATATACGTCGCACTATCCATAGCTAAAATGGACCGGAGCAGGTAAGAGTCACCGTCCGTGGACATAATATAGGCCGTATACGCCCACAAGCTAGAGGGAAATACCTTTTTAAAACAGATGCAAATAAATGTTAACCAATACTAAGAATCTGTAATAAAAGTGTTAATTAGTCTTAGAAGTAAGAATCTGTAAGATAAAGTTATTAGTTATCACACCTAAGACTAATTAAGCAAAAAAAAAGTAAAAATGAAAAAAAGTGAAAATTGTTTTCTCAAAAATTTCGAAAAAAGATGAAATTTCTATTAAGTCGATTTCGTCCAAAATGTGGTAGAAGTGTTCGTCGTGGTGACTTCGGGACGAATCAACAAACTTCTTCTTCATCGCGTGCCATATCAGAATTATCCGACGTTGGCGATCACCATTGCGAAGGCTTCTCGATCTTCTGAATCAATAAACACATGTAACAAAATTACGACACAAAGCAAGTTTTTTTCGACTATCGCAAATTTCCTAAGTCGATGAGTCCTAAAAATATAGAAAAATATCCTAAGTTATTTTTATATCAAAAATATTTCAAAGCCCAAAAAGGTAAATAAAATGTTAGAATTTAAGCTAAATCTAAGTTATTTTTTATACCAAAATATTTCAAAGTCAATAAAGAAAAATAAAATGTTAGCAAAATTATACTTATTTTCGTTATTATCGAAGTTATTTTCGGTCTGAAAATATTAAAGTCGATAAATACCTGAAAAAATAGAGGAAAAATATGAAATTGTACATACTAAACCATTAATTTCGAAAATAGATATTTCACGAGAAATATCGTAAGTCGAAAAAGCTGAAATAAATACAATTTAAATATAAATTAGACTAAGTCTCGCTAGAGAACTTAGAAAAATCCTGAAATAAACGGATAGCGGTTAGGAGCAATAAAAAGCAGAGTTTCTAGGAACTAAATCAACCAGAAGGTCTCTAATACCAAGAAGGCTGATTCTGCGGACCCTGTCCAGACCAGAACGAATTTTTGGCCAGTCAATCAATCAATGTACATTCTCGATAGGATAGGTACGGAATTTTTATTACGAAAGGATGAGAATATTTGTACCCGTTTAGGGCCGGTTGACACTCTTCAGGCTTGAGTTGAATTTTGTTGTATGGCTGTATAAAGGCAAACATACCCAAAAGCCACTGGCGAAAGCTTCTTCTTCTATTGAATGGATTTGCACCTTTTCTTCTCCTGGAGGAATTTTTGTCGACTTAAGATAACCAGAGAACCAGAGAGAAAGGCTTTGTTGGAAATGGTGTTCTTTCCAGATTTGGTAGCGTGTGTTTTTAGAGCTAGATGCGACAAGGCCGGGTCTCTAGTGACCATTGGTCCTGTGCAGTCTCGAGCTTAACCCGGCCCCGAAACCAGTGTATTGCACTGTCGTGGACGAGTGTGCTCGTGAGTGGAGGCGACTCTCTTTCGAGAGTCAGCTTGCCGCATTTTGCTCAGTGTTGATGTGTGTGTGTGTGTGTGTGTGTGTAATTCCAACCGTGACGGACGCTACCATTTCGTTGTTACTGACTCCTCGAATCACTTAGATTTTCACTGGCCTACCACATACTCCGTGGAAAGTAACGGAGGCTGCAGGCGGTCGGGGGTCCCGGTGATGAGGGTGCATCGGTAGCAGAAAGAGGACCCCTTTCACTGTTGGAATATGTGAGTGTTTGTTATGTGAATGTGTGTGTGGTGTGTGTGGTGTGTGTGTGTGTGTGTGTGTGTGTTTGTGTGTGTGTGTGTGTGTTCTCTAGTAACCATTGTTCCTGCAGCCGTTTATGCGCTCGCAAACAACACAGAACTAGTGTATTGCACTAAAATTCTGTAGTTGATTGCTCCCGCTAACGGCCAGGCCTCGTCGGAGTTCGATTGACGGTTCCAGCAGTCGCCGATTCATTTGAAAAAATAGTTGCGGTTATTTTCTCAGGGACGGACAGGTATCGTTGAGTAATGAGATTGGGAAACCGCAAAAAACCAATCTCCCTCTGTCCGGTGTAGAATGGGATGGGCAAGAACTTGGTTTGACGATAGGCTAGTGGAGTGGCTTCAAGAATGTCGTAGTATTCTGGCGGAAGTTCATCGATGCATGTTTGCATCAGAATTGAGGGAATGTGAGGGTGTTTGTTTTTGGGAGTCCGGGATACTACATGACCTCTGAAAGAGCAGGAACTTTTTAAAGTATTTTGGGCATTAGACGGGGGGCCGTTCATGGTTTTGAAAGTAAAGTTCCTGTTGAGAGGTTTTATTCTCTCGAGAATAGGAGTGGCGTTGGCCGTTTGGTAGATTTCACGTGAAGAGAAGTACCACTGCTTTCTGCACGCTCTACGTAGAATTCTACGCTCCGCAGATAGTAACTTTTTCCTTTGGTAGCCCTTAAGAAGGCAATATAAGTCTGCCTTATACTCCATAACGGGTCGAATGAAGGTTTTATAAGTATGTATGAGAGTTTGGTTGTTCGTTTTTCCAAAAGTCCCTGAAAGTGGGACTAGAAGACGAGCTCTATTTCTGACCCTATCTAAAGTTGCCTTTAGATCAGATTTCCAATTAAACGTTTTAGTGAATAAAACGCCCAAGCAGGAAGCTGTCGGGCTAGTCACGACCCTTTCTCCCATCAAATACAGGAGTGTTTGGTCGTCATTATTACGTATGAGCCATGACGATGTTTTAGGGCTGCGGAACACAATGGATTGTATTTTTGCAGCGTTTAAGGTAACTCTCCACTTATTGCACCATTCTTCGATACCATTTAAAAGAGTTTGTGTTCTTCTAAAGGTTCTCTCAGGAAAATAGTCGCTTTTTGTTGTTAGGAGGGCAGAATCATCCGCATAGAGGTACAGATGGGTGTGAGGTATATTCGGTGTGCGTATAGAACTGTTGTATGTGATGTACAATAGGTGTGCAAGCACTGAGCCTTGTGGAACTCTTGCTCGTGGAGTGAATGGGGTTGATTGCTTATTCTCACTCTCACCGTTCTATTTGTAAGATAAGAGTAAATGATTTTTGCCGTCGTGAACCTATACTTATACGAAATTAAGTAGGTCAAGTGAAATGCTCAATTTCGGACAATACCAATGGCTGCAATTAGGAATTAACATTAAACTCAACAGTCTTCCGGTTTGAACCGCGTCGATTATTACTGCGGTTTCTGGGCTTCAGGGGTATCATTCTCCTGAGCCTTTAGATACTACTGCACTTTTCACTAGTCACTGCACTACTACAGTATTAAACAGTGTAGTAGTCCTCCAATATTGGTTTGTTATTGTATTATTATACCATTATTTTTTTAAATAAATATAACTTAGTAACTTTGTGTAATCTTGTAGAAGGAATTATGATGTTTTTTATAGAATATTTATATTGCCTACACATTGACATATCCGTATTTAGTATTAACTGAACAACTTTTTAGGACTGGCAATTATTCTATACCATAACAGTAACTGTGATCTTTGCTATAGCAATGGCAATGCATATTCCTGAATTTAATGTAGATCCTAATGTCAAGACAATAGTGTTTGTCGCCTGGGGTCTCTATGGTGTCATTCCAACTATTCATTGGACCATCAAAAATGGCGGTTTGGACAATCCCTTGGTAGCTGTAAGTGATTTTTTTATTATACATTTGTTTTTATATTATAAGCCGCGTATACATTTTTGAGAATATATCGAAGAGAAAATTCAATTTAAACTAAACTGGTGAATCTACTATTTTTCTATATATAGAGTTTACCAAATAAGTGGGACGGTCTAATATTTCGCAAAATTTACATCGGATCAAAAAATAAAATACACAGTCAGAAGTCAGTACAATATCAAAAATCTGCAATTATTTTTGATGATATGGAATACAGTTTTTACATAGAAACTGAACGTGCAATAAAAATGGCGGTTTCCATTTAAGATTATAAAGTTGTCCCCCACCCCACCCTCAGAACCTGTAATATTAAAACCTGTTATTTATTTTTCCATTTAAAAGTATATTTATGGAGATATTAGACCGTTCCCATGTAGATTAAGGAACAAGATAAATTTGACGGTTGGTTGACAAACGAAGCAAACTCAAGATAAATCGTATTTTTAAAAAGGGTTCCCATTTAATATTTTAAAGTTGCCGCCGCCCCATCCACAGGATTCGGTTGAGGATTATATTTAGTGCTATTCGACAGATTTTTGAAAAATATTGGAAGCTAGTTTTTCAATTTTTCTTGTACTTCAGGGATTTAGCGTCCTTTCCTACGAGAGCTCCACTAAATGACTTTTGAAACACAAAATCTGGATCCCAGGTTGGTGATCAATAGCGTACCTCTAAAAAGGTCAGATTCATGGAAGCTAGGGAGGCAAAAACTCATTAAAACATCAAAAGCAGCATATTTATATTGCTAGTTTCAATGCCAGAACCCTCAAATCCTCTGAAAAAATGGATGAGCTGAAAGTTAACTAGGATAAAATGGAATGTCCTTGATTTAAGTGAAACAACACTACCAGGAGATCAATGTATAGTAGCGGTAATATATATATAATAGAATACTTCAAATGAACGATTTGGATATTTTGATAGTTCTGATAGCGCAGCGGCTGAGACATTACAGTGACCATCCCTCTTACAGCATGCTTGCATTGAGTGATGTAGAATAGCTTTTGTAATTACTGTTGCTATTTTTATCTTTATTGTTACTAAAAGAACTTTATAAAAACAGAATGTTGTGAATTGTCCCTTCTCTACAACATAAATAGAGAGCCAGACGACGTTGGAACTGGTCAAGTTTGTGGACTTGGATTAAACAATTCTTCGTCGAAAGCAAGTTATAAGTTGAACTGGTAATGAAAATGGTCGTGTAAATTAAAATCACTTCATTTTCTTATTGCACTTGTTACAAAAATACTACGTATTTATCTTAAGTTTACTTTTTGTTCTGCTGTTTCACGAAGAGACGCTTAATTATTTCGCGTGAATTTGACTGGCGATTACGAAATGCGATGGGTATGGTTATAGGGTCGTGATATTTGTTCGTTACTTGAATCGAAACTGTTCTGTCGAAATGTTACTCTAGTCCACTATTTATAGGAGAAAATATCCCAGCTTGTGACGATTTTAACCGTCATAACGACCTTTCTGCAACGTACCAACGATTTTTAACGTCGAAAACGAACTTTTCTTCGTGCTATATAGTGGCGTTTAAGCTAGTTTTTTCGATATATTTGCAAGCAAAAAATACATAAAAAGCAATAAACTGAAGATTTATTGCCTATTTACAAGTTCCGAAACTAAATACACCTTACTGGTCTCCCTTTGTGGACACATTAAACGTGTTGTTTTTATAATAAATTATCGAAGAAATATGATACTTATCTGGGTTAGCAAAACAATCTTTTGAACAGGTAGCTCAACTGAAAAATGGAATTAAACGTTTTGTGGTCGTTAAATACTGGTTTTTATATTGCCGATGAGGAGGTTTGGAGCTAACAAGATAACGAGAAGTATTCTTCTTTATTGATTGTAATGAAAAGAATAAAGAATTATTAAGGATAATATGTTAAGACTTTAACACACAAGTTAAATCTAAAATTAACGTAAGTAAACAGTTCAAGTTCAAGTCAGTTTAAAACGAGATTCTTTTCATTATTAAAGCTGCCGCTAGCAATCATGTTTTTTTTGTTTGTTGTTTTTCCGACAAGGTGACAGATATATAATTTTTTGACATTACACTTTTAACCATTTAAAAAACAATGAAATATAACCTTTTGTTTTATTTTCAAAATCAGATTTCCCTGCTCTTTGACTATACATATTACACATTATAATTTTATGATTTAATACTTACATCAATAAATTTGTATCAGTAAAACAACCAATATCTCGATACGTCCCTGGACAGCGGCTACTCGAATTTATAACGTCACTTTTTTCGATGGGCGATAGAAATATGGAGGCAACAATTTGTCTGAGTCACATAGATTACTTATACACTTAATTCATTTTCTCCTTCTTTCGAATTTTCTACGTCACTATCATCATTCAAATCAATAATAAATTTATTTCCACCATTAATGTGGAAGTGGCCAATCTTCTTATAATATTCTTCAACTTTGATTACTTTGGCGATTCTTTTCTGCCAGTCTTCTTTGGTAATATTAGATACTTCTTTTTTAATTATCTCAATTACCTTCTTGTCAAATTTAGGAAATGTATTTGCACGCCTTATACTTGGTTTTAATTGTCCCCAAATTAACTCTATAGGATTGAAAACACAAAAATAGGGGGGAAGTCTCAATATAGTGTGTCCATGCTTTTCGGCAATATTCTCTAGGGCGTATAATTTTTCAAATTTCTTTATGTGTAGAACTTCAATGAGTTGTTTTTTTGTATAAAAATCTTCGAAATACAAATCATTTTCCATTAAAAAATTTTGCAGTTCAGCTTTGTTTGAAGATGAATTTGGTATCTTAGTGAGCTGTCGGGAATGATACGAAGCGTTGTCAAGCACTATTACACTGTTTGGCTCCAAGTTTGGGATCAGTGAGTTTTCAAACCAATCTTCAAAAATATCAGCTTCCATATTCTTGTGGTAGTCAACGTTACAATCTTCTATTTTCTTCCCACATAATTTTAAAGCATTCGGAACCCAACCTTCACTTCCTCCGCAATGTACAATAATTAGCCGCGACCCTTTATTTGCAGGCATTTCTGATATGCACATGTTTGAACCATCTGTCCATCCTTTCTTAACTGTATCGTGGGTATCATACCAAGTTTCATCTAAATAGTAAATTCGCCTACTTTCTTGCCTATATTTTGTAATTTGTTCTAGATATATATTACGTCTGTTGACTATTCTTTGACTTTCCATAACTGCTTGACGTTTATTTATTGTTTTAAATTTAAATCCCATTTTCTTTATCCAATTTTGAAGAGTTTTATCACACCATTTCATATTCCAACCGGTTGTTTTCAATTTCTTTCGTATTATTTCTATTGTAGGTATTTCATTGCTTTTGTAGCAATCGTATATTGTAGTCTTCAATAGTTTTATAAGTGAAGCATCTATAGGTCTTGAACATTTGTAGTCACATCGCTTTTTGCGATGATAGGGTTCATTTTTAACTATTTTGTATATACTTGAAAGTGGAATTTCTGTTAAATCGGAAGTTGCTTGTGCCAACAGTTTTTCATCGAAGCCGAATTTCTTATGTAGATTTTTGTACACATTCAAACATACTTGCTGTGTTTCAGCATTTAAATGTATTCGAATCTTGTTTACAGGTACCTTTTTGTCAGGATTTATATTCACACCGGCACTGTTACTTTGTACATGATCATTATTTTTAAAAGCAATGTTTTCAACCACATTCTCCCAGGGACGCCACATCACTATTCAAAATAATTAAATTCCATCAAACACACCTACACTCTAGTCTAGTCTGCTTCCCAACTAAACTAAACTAAAATATTTCGCACCGACCAATTCAAGTCTGTGCGAACCAGTCGGGTCAGTGTAATCAGATATTAGATCAAAGGGTTCCGCTCTTAAAGAGTTTCTACAATATTTCTTACTTACACTATACACTACTCCAGTCTGGACATTCGTTCATGTTCTATCAATTCCATAAAGAGTCCAATACACATGTCGGCGATGTAGCACTATTGGTCGATAAAAGAATCAAACATCTGCGATACAGCATCAAAATCATTTAAGTACACGCTCCCACTAACTAATCAACAGATGAAGGAATAGAGTAATTTTGCGAAGATATTTCTAAGGCAACTTTCAAAGAGCTAATTTCAAAATAATTATCGAAGATTAACGCCAAAGTAGGGAAGTATAACACCGGAAACATATCAAATAGAAGAATATAAATGAGGCCTAGGAATTACGAACGAAAAATGAGAACATTTACTAACCTACCTATGAACACATTTTTTAGTAAACCAGGTAAAGTTGAAACTGGCTAAGCCCAGAACGGGAAACCAAAAATGAAATTTATTGCGTATTAGCCAACCAGAGAATCCTACCTACTAAAGAACTTATGCAAAACAGTACCAATTACCAGAAATATTAACTTAACCTAAAGCCAATAGATCCATTAAAGAAAATAGACGTAAATTATTTGGTAAGAAACGATAAGAACGATTAAAATCACTGTGATAAAAAGATCGATGACAGATTTTTAGTCATCTAAAGCTCGGTTCAGAACAGAAACTTGTACCCGAAAAAATTACTGGTTTGACGATGAATGCAAAGACGCAACACAGAAAAAAATGAAGCTTATGCAAAAATGCTTACCCGCCGGACTAGAACAAGTGTAGAGAATTACCAGACAAAGAGAAGAGAAGAAAAGAAAATACACAGAATGAAGAAACGAAACCACTTAAAAAAGGAACTTCAATATATAGAAAACCTCAACAGAGAGAAAGAATTCAGAACAATCTATAAGAAAGTTAACATCAACAGAAAAGAATTCAAGGCAAACACAAATCAATGTAGAAGTTTGAATGGCGATCTATTAACAACAAGAATATTTTAACCAGATACTTAATATAGAGGAAGAAGAAGAAAACCCGGAAGACGAAAGCTGTGTGGTAGGCGGGGCAGACGAGAG